GGGACAGTCGATGTAGAGATACATTTATGTGCTGATTGCAGATAGTTGCATTGAATAGTGGTTTTGTGGGTATTTATTGCTGCCTGTGAGGTTTTGGTGACGTGTGCGCACTGTCCGCCAGTCAGCCAAACTTCCACTACACCGGGCTGCGCTAGTAGACAGTAGAGCTGGTTTCAGTTGGCGAGCTTTTAGCGCACTTTCGGCGAAGCCTTTTGGCACGAAACTGTCACTGCGCCAAGCTGGATCTGTCGACACCTCCCCCTGCTGCACCGCCACACCCATCTCAGCGCACCTCGGTCTGCCAAACTACCAAACTGAGCGCGCCTCGGGTTGCGCTGCTCGAAAATCCTGCCCCTCCCTCTTCACCGTTCTTTGTGGCAGCTGCACGCAAATAATGTGCCCTGCAGAGCGGCATCATGTCTCCCTCATCTGCTGTCATGAACAGGTAGGTAACGATAGTGTTTGCCCTAAGCTTCTGCATTCTTTGTCTCTGTTGTGAAACTAAACCACTATTAAAATATCTTAATACAGGCAGTCTAATGTAGGCAACAAGTAAGATAGTCTGACGTAAAACTACACCGTCTCCGTCCAACTTTCTGCCAAATTCAAGTTCACTAGCTGCCTATTGTGAGCAGAGACAGACGCTGAATTCCTTTCCCACGTCCACCAGTCTTTTTAAACCAAAACTCAATCTGAAATAATGTTTACGTCTCCCATGTCATGTAACATGCAGTTTGAGACTGTGCTGCGTACAGAAGGCAGAGGAGGAGAGGAGGAGCGCGCTGGTTCATTTTAATTATTTAGAGAACAGCATCTTCCAGTTTTATATTGAGCTGATTTAAATAACTCATTCACATTTTAAGAACCATGATCTTAAATGTGCTAAATGCTAACTAATTTAACTAAATGAGTTTTATTTCTAATCTCTCGTCATGTTTAACGTACACGTTTCAAAGTCATCTGCGTATTGTGAACACAACAGAGCAGAGCAAAATTTATGTGAAGTATCTTATTAACACAAGCACTACGAGCAGTCAGAAGCAGGGGTAGATTTTGTTAGTACCTACGAAAAGATTGGCGCTACTAACATATTAATGAATGTCAAAATACACGTGAATTTGATCTGCGAACAGTTTGCACACAAATTATTCTGTTCACGTTTCGTGAATAAGACCCACTGAGTGTACAGTTATTTTCTTAATCACAGAGTTTTTTTTAATTGTTTAATGCTGCAGCATGTGCTGGTCAGCCGGTCTTGTTTGCTAATGTTACTGCTGATGGCTGCTCCGCTCCTTAAACTTTCGTCTCTGGTTGACAGCGCATAAAGTATTTACAATATACTTTACGTTCATCTTGCAAATGTCATTATTAAGACGTTAAATAAAACATGCCTGCAGACGCCGCTTTTTGTGAAGAGGAATTACAAGTTTACACCAGTGTGTCCACACTATAGACTGACCGAGGATCACCAAAGTCAATAGGATTCATCCCCTGGGAACCATGAATGTCTCAACAAAGTCTGATAGTAATCCATCCAATACTGCAACCCTGCTGCTAGCATGGCTACAAAGATGACTTTTTTTTGTGTTTTTACTTGGATATTTTATACATTTTGTACATTACTTCATAGTAGTATCCACATGCCCTGAGCAGAGCAGGTACAACATGTCACTGTCTGCATGCAGGCAAGAGAAAGTGAGCAAGAGCCTGAGAGATACGTTAGAGATAAGTAAGACAAAAGATGCAAATCAATAAGCTGTCAATTGCTCTGTGCACACTCGCTGCTTCTATTTGTAGCTTTTCGGTAGCAGAATGTCGGGGAGCTAAATTAGGTTATGTGAGTGTGTTTGTGTAGCGGGGATTTGTAACAACTTTATTACTCCCTGGATGTGGCTGTGTGCGAACAGATAACGCCAGACAATCTGCGCGTACCTCCCATCCACCCGAACACATAAAACAACACACACACGCACACACGCACACACACACACACACACACACACACACACAGACATATCATCCGTCTAATGCCTCCACTCTGGATAATTGAGTTTTCTTTCCCTGCACTGCTGACAGAAATATAAACACCCGAGCATCATAAAAGCCCTCCATAAAGCTTTTAACACTTTATTCCCCTGCTTATTAACTAAGACTGTGGCGGGAGAAAGAAGAGTGTTTGACAGAAAACGGGTGGTCAATCGTGTGGTTATACTGAGGGAGTGTGCAGCGGCTGGTGTGTGTGTGTTTGCATCAGAAGATGAAACAAGTGGAGGAGGAGGAGAAAGAGATAACAGGGAGGAGAATGTTTGTCACAGCAGTCAGTTTGGTTTACAGGAAAATAATGAAGACTGCCGATTTCATAAGTGCTATGTGACTCAGAGGTGATATTCTTTCTCCACACAGGCACACACACACACACACTCGTCCTTGTACACATTTGTACCCGAGGAGTTGCCAAAAACACATCATAAGGACACCGCTTCCTGACCTCCATTCTGCCTAAAGCATTAATACAATTACAGCGTCCAAGTCGAAAAAGGGATTTGGGATTGTGATGTATAGCCAATCCAAATCGACCTTGACTGTGAAATGGAAGGATTAGCGTTGAAGAACATTTTCTTGGCACCTTGAGGAGTGTGTATGTTGGTTTGTGCATGCATATTTTGACATTATAAAGGGGAAACACAGAGCTGTCAGCATAGCTACTTGATATATAAGCTGTCTGCTGTCAGTGAGTGTGAGTAATGATGGTGATGACTCACTGACAGTCTAACCTTGACTCTGACAAGGCTCTATTGGATAAAAATGTCATGGATGGCTTCTCCTGGGGAGCTTCTCTAACTGGCACTGGGAGATGACATAAATGCTGCAGCTCAGAGATCAAGCATACATTGTTTGCATGTAATTACAGGATAATCATTTAGTTTTGAAGAGCGCATTTTCGAACAAACTTAGGAACTTCGTGGTTTGGGAATTCAGGGTGCTGAAAGTGCAGGTTTTCTGGTTTTACTTTATGGTCTTACATTTTCACAGCCATTATACTACATCTAAATTAATGTGAGAGTGATATGTTGAGGTAAATAATCCACACTGAGGGACTAAGGGAGGCTTTTTAAAGGGGGACCTGTTGTGCTTTTCCTTATTTCTGTAATCTTACAAAGCCAAAGTTTCAAATAATGAAGTAAATGCACGTAAATGAATCCCTGTGAGCAAAAACCTCAGGCTTCAGACCGTTCTGAACACTTTGTTTGCAATGTCTTTTACCACTCTGGCTCCATATGGATGTGAGCAAGGAATCAGGGTGTCTACAGATACAACCAAGTTAAATTTAAGACTTTTTAAGACCTTTTTAAGAGCACCTTATATGAAATTTAAGACCAAATCTGCAATGGAAATACACATCAGGCTGGAGACATTTTCATGGTAATGTGACCCAAAATATTTAAGACCCATTTAATCAGAATTTAACACAATTTAAGAGTTTTTAAGTTTTTAAGGCCTGAGAAAACTTAATTTACAGATGGTTGTGACAGAGACATGTGCTTCTTTTTCTTGAGAGGCCACTATGTTTGAATAGTTGTTGTTTTATTGTGGATTTTTGTATTAAATGTTGTATTTGTTGCATTTAAATGTGTTTTTATTGGCTGCTACAGTGGCTTGGTCTCTCTTGTAAAAGAGATTTCAATCTCAATGGGACTTCCTAGTTATATAAATAAATAAATAAATAAATAAATATGACATCTTTAGACTTCTCAAGGACCCGTGGACACCCTGGGAATGGATTTCTTTATATGGTCATCTGCTCCAGGCACATTACTGCAACTTACATTACATTACATTGCCTACACTGCTACTTGTAGCTACATGCTAATATCAGGGAAACATGTAATCTTGGTTGCTGATGTTGTTAATTTCTCCCAGATTTTGGATCATGGTCCTGATGGAACATGTCATGTTTAGAAGCTTTTATTGGTGATTTTTCACAGTAGAGAGTGAAGCTATACTACATCACATTCATTTCCCCAGCGTCAGTGTCGTTGCAGAGACGTCAAGAGTGCAGATACCAAACACTGACTAATCAGAGCAGACTGGGCTTTTTTGGGAGAGGGGCTGAAAGAAACAGGTGCTAAAGCAGAGTGTTTCAGACAGAGGGTGCAAACAGGTGTTCCAGCACAGACAGTATGAGGAAGATACAGTGCTGTTTGACCATCAAAGCATGTAAACATGTTCTAGAAAAAACCCAAAATACAAGTATGAGCCTGAAAATGAGGATAATAGTTCCTCTTTCATAATCCAGGATAAATGTTGCTGTTGTTATACATCAGCTCACTGTGCTGATTTAGAGTTTGAGGTAAGCATGCAGTCACTGTCCATGGTGCTGACTTTGGATCTAAATGCTCAGTCTCGCCTGCAGTATTTCTGTTTGGCTGTATCACATATAGTGATTTCTGACTGAACTTTTACTGGACACGGCCAGAAATATTGGCAAATAGGAGCTTGACTTTTTGACAGGAGCAACACAATAGGTGAGGCTGATTAATATTACCTTATTGCATTTGTATGCCAGCCAATATACTGAGCAATAAAATGCTGGATTTTAAATTTTTTAGATTCATAAATATCATGATCGGTCTCGGCTTAATCCAGTTTGATTTGGGCTCTATTTCTGAGCACTGGTGGTGCTATGGAGTGGGTTTGTATCTCATGCTCTACTAAGACATGCATGGGTGCACTCATAAGCATGAAACAGGTATTTATGTCTACTGTTTCATGCTGTTACAGTGATTGACAGCTGGTGGCAGTAACACACCAAGAAACCAGCCAAGTAAAAGACTAGGAAGAAGAGGACTGCTAGCTAGCAACCATGGATGCAGCTTTCAAAATATTCAAAATGTCTTTACATGAAAACTCTACAGGGTATGGTGTCATTTTGAAAGTCTTTGGATTAAACTGTGGATAAATGTACACATGTGTACGTGTGCATGTTGGCCACCACCTACCTTCAGGTCCCTCTGCCTGGCGTGCTCCATGTCCTGCATGGAGCAGCAGTGGACCTCCTGCAGACGCTGCTGTCGCCTCTGGTGCTCCGTCTGCAGCTCGTCCAGCTGCATCCTCAGGTGCTCCCTCTCCTGGCTGAACTGGTGCTGCAGCTGCTGCAGCGACGACTGCGACTGGGACAGCTGCATCTCCAGACTCTGCTTCAACAGGGAGATCTGGAGAGGAGCGGATGAAATAATAAATGTTAGGGAGGGCAGTTGAACGAGCTGCTGCTGCCACACCTTTGCATACATAAACTAAAAGGACATATAAGGACATCTTTAGAGAACAGCATCTTTTTGTAGCAGAACAACAGAGGCAAAGAGGGGGTGGCAATCAGGCAATTAGGCTTAAACAAAGGTTGCAATATTAAAATGTTTGTAATTCTTTAAAGTCTAGAGCAATAAAGTTTCTTACTTTTGTAAATAAATAGTTTGCAGTTTACTGCAGTTAATAATAAAGTCTGGCTAATGGTGCAGGGCAATGGATGTAGCACTGGAATCATTGTGGGGAGAAAGCAGCATGATTCACCAAATTAGTCTGTCTAGACAACTTAAGATAATGAGTCTTTGGGCAAATGTAGAGATAATAATGCAGTACATCCTTGTACAACCTGCTTTGGCAATGCTTTATTTAATCGTGGTCATGCCAATGAAGCTAATTTGATAAAGAAGCTGAATAGAAAACTTAAGAATATTAAGGATTGCATCTATTATTTGGACGAGCTTTGCTGTGCTACTAAAAGGTCAGCCAGCTGCTGTGCGTAGAGCCCACTTGTCCTCTCATGTCTACAAAAATCTGCTTTACCAACTGTTGAAGTTCCTTTGCAGCAAACTGACAGGTGAGACCAGCTGGACCCTAAATAATTCATATTTTACACTTTGAAACTTAGTTGGAATAAATAACTTCATCACCTTTGGGATCAACTTGCAGATCATGATGAGTGGGATTACTACGCACAACAAAGACAGATTCTCAGTGAACCAAAAAGAGCAGCAGCTGCAGCTCAGCCTCGGTAACTGCGTCCTAAATTTGGAAATTATATTATGACTAAGACATGAGTCATGCACTGTGTCACAAGGTTGGAAAGCTTCATTAACACAAACATATGTTTATATATGCTGTATTCTGAGCTGTTGTTTACCTGCTGATACAACTGAGTTACTGATCTGTGAAATGTTTTAGGTGTGGAGGGTGACGTCTATTACTGAGACACCTGAGAATCATGTGAAAGAGGTAACCATCCTAGGCCCAATCCCATTTCTTATTTTTGCCCCTACCCCTCATTTCTGAGTGACCCTTTGACCCTCAGAACAGAGTAATGGGGTAGCGATTCAAATCTTCTCCTATGAAATTGGACTCTTGAAGACCCCGATTCGTCATCAGTAGCTTTTCATGGTGTTAACGCAAACAGACATGACTATGGCAATCATTGATGAAGATTTTTAAGTCTTCCAGGTCATGGTAATCTTAAGTGCTATATCGTAGGCAACTGGACCTTGCTTGACTTTCTTGAAGATGTTTCACCTCTTAACCAAGAAGCTTCTTCAGTTCGAATGGACTGATGCAGAGTCGCAGGCTTTAAACTCTGTGTGGGTGTGATTGCACAAAATGGAGGGGTAAGGGCTTAATGTAGGGGCAAAATTGATGTGGACAACTATAGGTTCTTTCAGTAAATGTCTTAAACCTGTGTTAACTGTTTGTTTTCTACCTGGAGGCAGCATAACACACTGTAAGCATAATGCATTATAAAGCTGATATAGTGAACATGCTAATAAACCGGGTGCCTATTCACACATCCTGCAGATATGCAACATTAGCATTCATTAATTATAATAAATAAATATTCAATCAGCTCCTGAGGGAAATATCACACTCTTACACTGCTAAATGCTTCTATATGTTTGCCTGCTCATTGTTAAATGTCTGTCATTTGGTGAAGGTATATTACATTGTTCGTTTGAGCTCTTCTGCTTAAAACAGCTGCCTTACACTGGGAGCGACTTCAGCGGATAGAGATACAGAAAACACATATTTGCTCAGTGTTGGTAATGATTGCAAAGAAGATGATTACAGTGTTACAGAGAAATATAAAGACACCAAATGTTCAACATACTCAGTTTCTGTACGTACCCCTACATGCACCTTTGAGGGTACCTCACCTATGGAGAAGGTGAGGTACCCCTTTTGCTGTTGTAGGGAGAGGTAAGCAACATTGCTCTTGTAGTAATTTCCATGTTTTAGCTTTTAATCTATGTTTTTAAGTTCATTTTATGTCACATAATTTGTGTGAGGTTGATATGGTTGTAATTGATGAAGGATTTTTTTTATCTCTTGTTGTCAGTTATGTTTTCTGTGTTTTACTGTGCTGAATTATATGTAACATGGCACCCTTTGCTGTTGTGCTCCATGGGAGAGGGGCTTGAGTTTATATGGTTGAATTTGACAGAGGAATTTGTTTTCACCGCTTGCTGTCAGAGTTGTAAGGAATAAATGGAGACTGCCTCCAAAGATAACCACAGTCTGGGCCTCTTTATATCAACACAATGCAGACAACACTAGAGTCCACCGGTTACATTTGGTAAAACAACCCCACTTCATCCCTGTGTGTACCTAAAGCTAACACAGTGCCATCTAACTTAACTAAATAACAAAGTACCACACCTAGAAACAAAAATATATGACGCTTTATAGCATCATTGGAGCACTGAAATAAGTTGAGGCCAGCTCAACTTTGATTTGTAGCGCATCATGTGAAAACGACTTGTAGCCTGTTACTGTGTCATTTGTAGTGTGAACACAGCTTAAGAGACATGAGCACAGAACAAACTGTAATTGTGTATAAGTGCATGTCTAGTGAGGGTACAGTGACAAACTAATTAGGAATTCCCCCTGACCTTATCTTCTTTATTGTCCAGAATCTCCCAACAGGCACATGAAGACTTATGGGTGATGGCATTTAAGTAAGAATGCGGTTGGGTGCCTGTGTCTGTGCTGCCTCTATGAACAGATCCCGAATAAGACAGGTCGATGTGTAATGTTTGTATATGATTGCATGTGGAAATTTAAAAAACATGCTGCTACTGGAAACAGCACGGTTTAGAACAGTGAAAAATAACCAAAAACGGTAAAATCGAGGGCTGGAAAACCAAAACAATGAGCTGAAAGATGCTGAACGCTCTAGAGCCAAGGGGAATTAAAGAGTCGGGATAACGTCGCTATGAGCAACACCTTTGACATCACTATTCATTAGTGTGGCTTTAACTAACCTCTGACTCATATGCAGGTATTGTGACATACCCTCCTTCCTTTTAAAATCCTAGCTAGAAGTGCTGATTTCAAGTATTGCTAACTGCGCACACATTGGAGCCCTACTCCCACTGCTGATACACACATTTGCAACTGTACTTTTTGAACAAACACACTGTGGAGTATCTTGAGTGTGAGCAAAAGTCAAAACATATTCTGTAAAAGTTCTATCTGCCCACGCATCACTGGCGCAGACATCACAATCTGTTAAAATACAAACAGTAAGAAAACAGTCTGTTCCTTCACTTCATTTCACTTCATGTGTATCTATTAAGAGGTGGACCGCTGCTCTGATTTGACATCAGAGTAAATAAATATGGTTCCGCTGATTGCGCGGCGTGAAGCGGGCACATTAATCACTGGATGGGAGCTGATGGACAGCATGACGGCAACCGGCGGCTGATGCGCACGGCATGCAAAAAGGAACATTAATAAATCCACTGACACTGTGTCTGTGTGTACGATGACCACTGGAGAGCTTAGGCACGCTACATTAATATTACCGGACGGTCATTAGCAGCAGCTGCCCGCTGCGGTGCATTCACTGCAGCGTCAAATAATGAGCATGTGAGTGAGTTTGTCCACCAGTGCGAGGGAGAAATAAGTCAGTCTGGCGTAGACAGGAGGTCTTATACAGGGGGCAAGATGAGCTTTGAAGGGATACAGTTGCTCTTATTGCCTTTCTCATTCTCTCTCTGTATTGATTTTCTTACTACTGGTATAATTACAGCAATTCAGCTACAAGCTGCAGGCATCTGGTATTTGTAACGTGAAGATTAAAACTATCTTTTACCAGGAAATGAGGGTACCTCTGCTTCTCTTCAGTGATGGAAAGTACATTTACTTAAGTACTGTACTAAAGTACAATTTTACTGTACTTGTTTCTATTTTATGCTACTTTATGTTTGTACTCCACTGTGATGTATTTTTATAGGTAGTATACACTCACCAGCCACTTTAATAGGTACACCTAATCAGCCAATCATGTGGCTACTACTCAATGGATTTAGGCATGTAGACATGGTCCAGACGACTTGCTGAAGTTCAAACTGAGCATCAGAATGGGGCAGAAAGGTGATTTAAGTGACCTTGAACGTGGCATGGTTGTTGGTGCCAGACAGGCTGATCTACTGGGATTTTCACACACTCTCATCTCTAGGGTTTACAGAGGATGGTCCCAAAAAGAGAAAATATCCAGTGAGCGGCAGTTCTGTGCCTTGTTGATGCCAGAGGTCAGAGGAGAATGGCCAGACTGGTTCAAGATGATAGAAAGGCAACAGTAACTCAAATAACCACTCGTGTCAACCAAGGTCTGCAGAAGACCTGAATGACTTGAATAACAGGTAAACAGTAAACACTTTTGAAAACATCTGAGTTGAGAAATAGGCAACACAGTGACATAATCTTGGGTCATTATTATCAGCACTACCTTGTTGGGTGGTTTTAGGTACAGGAAACAGTATGGCGTTCGCTTCTTATACACAAACTCTCATATTACAGCCAAACAGTGCACTAAAATATGTTTCTCAAGACATTTTAGGCAAGAAATAGACAATGCAGTGACAGAGTGTTGGTTTATATTTGATCAGCGCAGCAAAACTCTCTGCCCATTTCTGCTGTAACACCATTAGCCAATATCTTTTGTCAATCATACCTTGATGCGAGGCAGATAGTGGTTGCAAATTATGTGCAATTCATGGTGCTATCAGCAGCCGCAATTCGTTCTTTATGAATTAGCCTGTGAGTATTTTTACACTGTGGCATTGCTACTTTTATTGGAGTAAAAGATCTCAGTACTTCCTCCACCACTGCTTATCCTCTAAACCAGGACTAGTGATCATCCCCCTTTGCATCTTCATTTTGGATTTTAAGTTTTGATTTTGCTCATTTTATCTCATTTTACTTTCAGATTTGTGTAAAACCTCTAACTTTTAAGGGCATACAACACCAAAAACACTTCATCAGGGTGTAATTTAATTCCAGAGAAAGGCCAGGCAGGAGGCTGCTCCACACATATGTCTACAGAAACCATTGGTAGCACTTGTACCTGTTCCAGCAGGTCCTCCACTTTCCTCTGCCAGCTCTCTCTGGCGTTGCTCATTTCCTGCTCCTTGGTTTGTGCCAGCTGATTCAGCGCTGAGGCCTTGTCCTCCTCGTGGTCCTCTCTCAGCTCCTCACGTAGCTTCTTACACTCCTGCCTACAACACGACAACACAATATTTGTGTTTATGTTTCAGGTATGTGGCCAATGCTGTGACTGAGTGTGATTCACCAAACGTGCACCAAACCAACATCAGTGCTACATGTAACTGTGCAATGCAAACTTTCTAAAAAGCCACAAGCAAAGGAAGCAAAGGTCAGTGCCTTTATACTTGAATATACAATATAATAAAAAGCAATGTATCAGAAAAAATCATGTATGAGTGAAGTGTTTGGAAAAGACAGGCGGTAACCACAGACGAAAGCAGCAGACAACATTTTGTCGGCTGTAAAAATAAATCTGAAGGAGTGAGGTTTTTGTGTTTATTAGAACGTCCTCCTGAACTGAAACCATCTGATGCCTGGAGGAAAAGACATCTAAATCTAACAGAGTGTGCTACTCTTTATAGTCAACAGGCTAAACTTCCAAAATTTTTTGTTTCTTTTGTTGCTTGTTTCTTTCATGCACCTTTTGCACTCTTGTTGTTGTTGCTGACGTTGTTTTTATTGACATGACTTTTTATTGCGATTCACAAACACAATATCTGCTGAAAGAAGAGGCTCAAACAAACAGCCCAAACTTTGCAACAAAGGCAAAGGTGCTTCACAGAGCTCGATATTCACTTCAAGGGAACAATAAATGGTCCTTTATCAGATCTCAACACTGCATCTATTGAGCGACCATCACTCTTTAACACTGCTGCTAACAGCTTTTTGCATGGCTGTGTGTGTGTGTGTGTGTGTGTGTGTGTGTGTGTGTGCTGTCAATGTAATAGCTGTGTGGGAGTTGAAATGGCAACTGTTAAATGAAGTATCGAGGCAAGAGCGTTTTTTGTCACTTTGAGAGCCAAAAAGTGTCAGACTGAAGGCGGGCTCGCGCTCACACACACACACACACACACACACACACACACACACACACACACACACACACACAGAGCAGTGCAGTCACACACCAGATGGTCACGTTCATCATGCAGCACGTGTCATCATTCATGTCCTTGTTCTGTACAAAGCACACAGTCACACACGTTGATGCACGCATGCGTTTTCTTTCACACTAACACACACACACAAAGGCCTTGGGCTCCAAAACGCTCCGGTCTTCCTAATAAGTGTTGTTCTATAGCATTTTCTGGGCAGGAGGAGAGATGAGGGCAGACACAGAGAGGTAAAGGAAAGAAGGAGAAGATGAAGGAACTGTCAAATATGGAGGACATATCCTGATAAAATGTGGGATAATTGGCTGGATTCTACGAGATATAAGGCACACGTGCTCATTTAAGGTCCGTATTCGTGTGTGTGAGTATGCATATGGTCTGTGTGCTCTCAGTGAGTCGTCTTTCTAATTATGTGATTGTGTATATAACTAGAGCCAATCACTGATGGACACAGCAACACAGCCTCTGGCCCAATGCATCCTTACAAACCCGTTGCCATCAGAACTCTTCTGCTAACGGCTAATGACAACAACATCTTCTTTCAATGCGCTTAATGGATAAATAATCATAGAAGACATTCATGTTGGATTTATTAGCTTCATAAAGTCCCTGCTCCTAAAAGGGACAAATGGCACAGGAGGGTTCATTGGAAAGCTACAAATGGTGATGATGTTGAGGCAATTTAAAGTTTCGAGACTGCAGTGGTCTGGAGATATTCTAAAAATAGGACATATACTACTTTGACGACTTCAGTGGGCTTAAAGTTTAGTAATACATTTTGTGGTATCTAGTATCTGAGGCATTTCCGATACTGGTATTGGTAACGGAATAATTCTGCTTCAAATACCGCCAACTTCCCTCTTGTAACTCTTCTGTCCTTTTAAGGGACAGGTATCACAGCTCTAATAAATCTTTATAGACAAATCACCTGAGTCTTTCAAATATAAAGTTAACAACTAGAGACTGGATTTACAGGAGGACATCTCAGAAGAGGAATGGTCTGAGGCATGCCTGAAGGCTCAAACACAAACTATTACCATGGCTTAGGTTGCTACAATACAACTGGATTTTAAGAACATATCACAAAACTACACAACTTTAATCCCAATATGGCACATGACACATGCTTCAAATGTAACAGTATTAAAGGAACACTCTTTCACTGCTTGTGGGAATGTGATGTGGTCAAATGTATTTGGAAGGAGGTTCTTGACATGATTAACCAGATAACAAAATAATAATTAATTAATTCCCTTGTTGGCCAAAGTTGTGCATCTTGGGTATTTATTCAAGCAATTTGTTACTAGGAAAAGTGGCTGTGTACTTACAGACCTGTGTCTCTTATAAGCTAAAAGAGCAATAGCTATATGATGCAAAGATGTGAACAAACTAAGTATGAATCCATATATTATGGATTCATCGACATGTGTTACTATGGAAAAAACAGACATATATTACTATAGGAAAGCTGGTAGTTAACAAAAACAAAGACTTCATGGACTTTCTGATATAAAACACTGATAATGATCCATAAAACCAAAGTGTTAGGGTGGGGCAACTGGAAGAAGATTAGAAAATGTAGTAGCCAGTGTGATCTTCAAGATTACTGTAACATCTGTTTTTTTCCCCCTCTGTTTTAATTAAGTTTTCTTATTTGCATGGCTTGTCATTTAATGGTATACCATATTGGCTGGCAAAGGAGATAAAAGCACACCATTGCAACTGGGCTGGACAGACACAAAAAAGGTTCACAGGCTGAGATCAATGGAAAAAATGTCAATTTATTTAGAACATCCACGCACAAAAAGAAAGGTGCTGAAAGAGCAAAACACTGCAAATGTTTCATTCCTTGACTTTCATCAGATGAAAGTGCTACAGGATTACAATGTTTGCTGCTATTTTTACTCACTTTTTTAAAAACATTTTTTTTTATCATTTTTTAACTTTAGGCACCCTTCTTTTTGTGCATGGATGTTCTAAATAGATTGACGTTTTTTGCATTGATCTCGGCCTGTGAACCTTTTTTGTTGCTGTCCAGCCCAGTCGCAATGGTGTGTGGGTATCTCCTCTGCCTTCCTTTCTTGCTTGTCCATAGTACCAACGCACCCAAGATAAACTTTTTTGTTGCCCTGAGTTGACCGGTTTCACAGCAGCCCTATGACTATTTTATTTCTATGTAATATCTGTTCGATTGAGAGTCCACGATAAATAAATAAATAAAAAAAACTCTTAACACTATCATTTAAAAATAACCATGTCCATCTGACCTACTCTTTGTAACCAATATACAATACAGTTTTGAGAAGTTGCAGTCAGGGCTGCTGCATGTGTGGTTTATCACTACAGGTCTTTTTATTTCAATGTTCGTCAGTGAGTATTTTGTCAATGTGGCCAAACATCTCCAGTAAGTCGACTTTGTGCTTAGAATTCTTGTCGAATTACTATTTCCAAGGTCAATAATGAAAGTTTAAACCCAACATTTCCCTGATATTTCTGAATATGAACATATTCACAGCAAAACATTTTAACAAAGAAACATAATCAGACCAAGGACTTGTACTGTTAACTTTTAACCTTCTTATCACCTTCATTCATTCTCAGCAGCAGCAGCAGCAGCTGTGGCTGTGTGAAAGAATGACCAGGAAATTAAGTATTTGTGGTGCAACTTTAAAAGAGACATATCCTGTACTTTCCTGTTAATTTGGGTTCAAAGTTACATTGCTCCAATAAAAGCTTTTCACAAAAACACTAAGATGTGATAAGAGCTACTCTATGTGGTAATGAGGGTAATTAAATATTAGCTGTCCTTCTGATATTTACCTTGTCAATGTCAAATCACAGGCGGAGGTACAGAGTTTAGACACATTCCCAAATATCAGTGTACACAGAACCTGCAGGAGGCTTTTTGTACAAACTCTGCTCTCTGCTGGGTGATACTACTGAGGGAGGTTGGATCACCAAAGTCATTATTTCTCATCTTTGGGGGACCATGAGTGTCTTTATGGTATTTCTTGGCAATCTACTGAATAGTTGTTGAGGCATTTCAGTTTGGTAAACCGACCCGCAGTCTTTGCCATCCCTAGATCAGACCCACTTATCAGTACACACTGGCTTAAGAGGCAAAAGATTCAAGACCCTAACATGCTCCACAAGATCTTGTGTATGACCAGAACAAACTAGCATCATACTGTCTGCGCTTTAGTCTGCTGATCCGCTCAACCTCCTCTGTTCATTTGGTAATCCGCAGAGCTCTTTCCATGATTATGCTATCACAGAGAAACCGTCTGTTTCCACTGTAAAATAGGGATTAAAGCCAGCCTCCTTAATTCAGACGGCTCACTAACCACTGTGTACTCACCCCAACTCACCAAATGAATAGATGTTCTCCTGAGAATAAAGAGCTGTGCGCCGAAAGACAAAGCAAGGTGAGTGAAAGCTAATGAAGAGGAGATGCAGAGGAGGGGAAGAGTGACACATAGACACGCGCTCGGTACAAGCACGCTGGAACGCTGTTATTTCTACCGTATGTGGACCTCTGCTTTCAAGATCCAATCTTATTATGACTCTGAGATTTATTAGAGGTTTAACTGAATTGGCCACAGTCAGTTTGTCAGCAGAGCAGACAGAAAATTAGAACAGGCATTCCCTAATCTGTCTCTGATGCAGCCATTTTTCGTCATTAATGTCACACCGTCACTGTCAGTGTCTTTGTGTTTGGTTGGTGTCATGTTTTATTCAAGACACTTTCAAACCATAAAAACAATACTCAGTGGCTGAATACGTTTTCAGATCCTTTAGTTCAATAAAAGTACTAATACCAAAATACTGCACTACATGTAAAGGACCGTCCACACCAAGAATGATATCTATAACGGTAACTGTAACTACATCATTTCAAAAATGGTTTTGATTCAAGTGGATGGTGTAGTTCACACCACAACTAGTGGTGAACAATATCGTTTGAATCACCTTTGGAGTGATTTCATAAACAACAGAAACACTAATAGCCAATCAAAATCCATCCTAATTTGCACTTTACGGAAAATTATCGTTCATCA